GCTTTTGCTGTAGTGAACCTCAAAATTATTTTTGACGCGGTTGCTCCACTAAAAACATATATCTTGCTATATGTAGGTCTGTACTTACTTCTACTCTTTTTTATGACCAAGGTTGTCAGAATATAAAGAAAACTAGGAATGAACACAATTGGGAAATTCGTAGGGCTTAGAAAACCTTCGCTAAAAAGGAGCATATTCAACCATTCGATGAACCTCGCCGTGTCTAGTCATATTATGGTGTGGTCTATAGAATAGATGCAAAAAATTAGAAAAGAAGTAGCGCATGCGCGAAAAAAATTAATAATTTGTGTGTGCAGCGCATGCGCTGCACACGGTCCCACACGGTGCTCAAGGTGTGATGCGCATGCGCTGCACAATGTCGTCAACGTGTTAATACTAAGAATTTTCTGGCATGTAGACTGTTAACTGGTCAAGTTTTGCTCTCAATATGTGAAGATCTTATGAGACCTTTTTGAAGACGGATTGGCAGTACACGCAGTAATTCGTCAAGTCTCAGCTCCAAAACGAAGGCCATTCTTAGTCACCTCGAAAGAATTAATACTCCGGCTCGTGTGAGTTTCATTTCCAAAGAATTTTCAGACCTCTGGAGTACCGTATTCAGTCCATTTTAAACTCCAGCCTCGTAATTTTCGCCATTATATACTTTATTTTAGGAAGCTCGCAAGCTACCTGTGATGCGTGGATCTACTGTACCTTCGGAACGTTGGGCACCGATGCATTCATGTGCAGCTCCTCCACTCGTCAAGTCTAGTGCAACAGTTCCATCTCGCATTCAACTTTTATCTTCATCAATGGCGTCTCAGCGGAAACCGTATTGGTGTGTTGAATGTCCAGTATTGAAACCTTGACGTGCATCTAAATTTGCGGTGAAATATATGGGGCAATTGGAGAACAAAAATCTAACGACCAATATGACTACTAGCGAAAAACGTGAAAGTGGAGGATGGATGAACCTTCACCTGTGTTGAAGGCGATGCCATCACGATTTGCAGAGCGAGTAGTACTTATGAGTGAAGGCATTTTGAAAGCACATGAGCATGTCGCATCACCTGTACGTGATCATGAAGCTCCAGTATCACTGCGCTGTTTTATGAGAATCTGCAAGAGGCTATCAAACGTGGATTTCACCATCATTAAAGTGTGGTAGATAGGCTGTGGCGTCAGGGAGTAACCCAGGTTTCGTTTGTGGAACGATTCGATTCCAAAAATTTCGATTTTCGAATTTTTAGAGGTCGAAGTTGAACTGCTGCGATAAACATAATCAAGGTGTTGATGTTGAATGTGGCCCAAACATAATCTAACGTCGTGTGATGTTTGAATGTGTCCAATAAATTGAAATTCTCGCCATTTTATCTATCAGAAGCGTTTCTTTCGAAAGAAGTTTCATCTATGCATTGTTGTGGATCTAAATTGGCCACAATTTGAACAACAGTATCAATTTTTTCTTTTTTTTTTTCAGGCGTGATATAACCAGAAAGCTTCAAGAGAAGGAGCAAAGCACTGTCTCGAAGGAGAGTCATGATAAACCCAGCAGTTAGTTCGGTATGTATAAATACTCTATATTTTTCATTCGCCCTCGTTGATTGAATTATTACTTCATTATTAAGCTTCATCCTCATGTTGTATATGCCCCGACAAAATGGGTCCAATGCAAGTAGCTCATTTTCGAAATCAGTAAGGAAGGATATCGGAGCGGATGTATCGGCAAAGACAATGAAACCTCATGTGCCTTCCTTGAAAGGTACTGCAGTTTTATCTCCATAACATTTTCCATATGATTAGTATAAGTGAATGGTTATTTTATAGCTTTGTCACTTGGCTATTTGTTCTATCCAAAGCTCTTGACTTGCGTTTTCTATCGCTGGCGTTTTCATTTCTATGAACCTTTTCTAACCAGTAGCTAGTGTGGGTGAGAGATCAGTACAAATTTCTTGTAAATTCATCTCGCTTTCTGAGGTCCATTCGATCTCTTACGCCCTTGAAACCCCTAGGAACCTAGAAACCCTGGTCATAAACATAAGTATAATATATATCTTAAGGATATTTTTTTGTTTTTTATATGTTTTCCTTATTGCAAACTAACAGGAAAGTTTATATCCTCATGCGGCATCTTCACGGGCGCTAAAGAACAGGGCTGATAGTATACGACAGCTTTCTTAGGTATCAAATTCCGCGGTTGCCATAACGATTGCACTGAAAAAGATGAGCGCGGATAGTGGTTCAGTCACTCGAACGACTTTAACGATTTGTCTCCACTGTGGAACGATAAAAACTGATTTGAAACTTCGTTAGGGATTAATAGATGAACTATCGCAAGATTGCTGAGGAATGCGCAAAGGAAAACAAAATAGTTTTGCTTCATAACCCACGCATTTTTTTTATCTCACTTCCTTTGCAGAACAGCGAACAAATAGCAGTCAACTGTCGAAAGCAAGTGTTTGGTTTAGCGTTACCTCTCCTAAATTACCCCAATGTTGCCATCTCAAAATTTCTCACCTTGGCCGTTTTGAATTTTCGGTCGACGGACTACGTCAGCTGCTTTAACTCCTCTGCGTTCTCTCGCTGGCGTCCGCTTTCCTAGGGCCTAGTTCGTAGAGGCATTTCGCCCGTCATTCTAATCGTCTGGTGCTCTAGCCATTCGCGCCAGCGCCATGGACGAAAAATCAAGTTGAGTCCGCTAAACCTTTACATTATACGAAGTTATACGATTTGTTTCGCCAGATCAGTTTATTTCTTTAGGAAGCGATGGAAAGACCATCAGCGCGAACGTGTTCAACGCCACTCAGTTAATTGATGAGGAAATGGTAGACGCCTCCGAGGATAGGACGGTACGTTGATTTTTTCCTAATAAGCGTTTTCTATCAATTATGTGTTTTCTTCTGTTTCAGAATGACATCCCTTTGTTTGCACCTCCTATAAAGGCGGCGCCAACTGCGGGGTTTCTGGATGACATGGTTTTCTCCTTCGGCGCTCCCGTTGAACGCTTGCCTGGACAAAACGCTGCTGTTGGGACGTCGACCGAGTGTGACAGAAGTGGTTCGGAAGGATCTGATAGCAGTGATGATGATTCGGATAATGAGCAGAGCAGCTCTACATCTGATGCTGAAGAAACAAATGAACAAGAAAAGGAGACGAAGGTTTTTTTTTACCAAGTATCAAGTCAACATGTGCCTGTTCTCCTTAATCTTGGCACGATATGTTTTTTTCTTTCGTACTCTGTTTTGTTGGTGAATTTTAGGCTTCCCGTCCACCGACTGCTGCTGACAGCGAAACATCTGGTGCAATTTCCTCGAATGTTACTCCAACATCATCAAAAGATGTTTCGCCACAAACCAAGACTGATAACTTCGGGAGTTTGCCCTTCAGATTAGCTTCATCACAACAAGGTATCCATTTTTACTTTCTTTTCATTGGTAATGGTATGGGTGTGGTCAACGGCGGTTTCTGTTTGTTTCAGAATGTCAATATTTGTGCCGCCTGTGGACACAACAAAGATGCTTCGACCACTTCCAAAACGCTCGTGTCCAACATAGCGACATTCGGAAAACCTGCTGCTGGTGGTTTTCGATTCGGATTAGCTCCTGAGGGAGTCAAAGACAGTAGCGCACCAGCAGCACCACATTGGCAGTATCAAAGGAAACTGCTCTGGGAACTAATGGTACTTCGAAACCTGCCCCGAATGCGACTTCTGAACCCAAGCAGGACTCTTGCAAGCCTTCCACGGCTGGTGATTCCACTACCGCCGCAGCAACACCTAATGCAAGTGGATCGGATAAGAAACGCGTAGCATGGGAGTGTCCGGATTGTATGGTTCAAAACAAGGTTTGTTTCGTGGTATTTCGGATCTCCTTGTTGCATTGCTTTAATTCCGTTTGTTTCTCTATAATCAGAATGTCTAATTTGAGGTAATCTGATACAAGGTGTGTCTGGTAGTATGTTGATGCTTACAACCTGAAGGAGGTTCATCAAATGCAACTGCGAGGTCTTTGCGTGGCGCGATCGTGCCTTCAAAGACGGCACCCCTTCCTTACCACCGGCAGATTACCATTATATGTATAGACCTATTATATTATTGAGATTGTTTCGAGGTTATGCCAATCCCAGAGTGTCATTTGTTCTAGTTGGTTTTTTTTGCATCAACCTAAATTCTTCTTTTGGACGGGTTCGCCAAAAAATCTGGAAGATTGCATTGGCTGAATTAGGTCTGTATTCGTACATCTGGGAAAGCTCACATCCTATCCGTTAAGTATCAAGAGCTGAGACTTGTTGCCTTTGATTACATAACAGAACAAATATTTATTAATGTAATGGATGGCTTAAGCAAATCGCTGCTGTAGAATCTCGTAGAATATAGTATTTACACATCTTGCGCAAAGTCATAATAACAAAAACCTATTAGCTGATATAAGAACAGAGTACAACAGCTTGAGGGCACTAGAAGAGTAGTATCAAGTGCTGGTAAAACTATTGTTGATGTTGTAATGCCTGCTTCCGAATTTTCCTTGTTTTATGAGTCATTTTCTCTTTTCAGCATTTTTTTTTTATATTTAACCATTTTTAAACTTCAGTCTCGTTCGGCTTTGGTACATCAAACAGCGCTTCCGGTGCACCTGGAGGCATAAAATTCGGTCTCGGCACTAGTGAGGAAGCAGACAATTGCCAATTCGGAACCAGCAGCTACTGTGAATGTCACTAAAGCGGATCCCGCGCTACAACTGCTGGTACAACTATTTCTTCGACGCCTGCCATCACGAAGGCATCATCATCTCGTGAGAATTTTAATGTGAAATACCTGTAAATTTCTTGTCAAAATCAACTCATTTTAGCCGTGCGGTTTTGAAAGTTTCAACAGAATGGCATCAAACGAAACCGCAGCTGCCAACATTTTCGTTAGGGTAAGTTCAGAGATTTGTTATGTGGGTAGTTTGGTTGACTTGTTCTGCGTCGATGAAATTATGAAATATGAAATTCTGTGATATTGACCACTAGATCAACGAAAAGGTGTTGGCTTAAATGTTGTGCATGGGCTATGTTAACACGTTGGCGACATTGCGGCTTTTCGCGTTTCCGACGAATGCTTTGGGATGCTGGAGTGCTACTACGTGCAGCAATAATACACTGCGTTCAATAATGATACAGCCACCTAAAATTTGTTCGAAAACTTAAAGTTCATAGAGTTTCTGAAAAACTGTCCAGATAGAAAATGTGACAAATTTCATGGCGAGTTCAGATATCACACAAAAATCCATGTCGAAAACACTAAAAAATTTTGTGCAATTTTTTCAGAAGAGGTCGATTTTCCTATGTTCAAAAATGATACAGCCACCCCGTGTTTCTTCGTTGAAATTCATTTTTGCTTCATGAAACTGATTCGCAGTTATCAGGCTTTCACCTTAATGTTCCCACAAGATAAAAAAATTTTTTTTTTTTTTTTTTTTTTTTTTTTTTTTTTTTTTTTTTTTTTTTTTTTTTTTTTTTTTTTTTTTTTTTTTTTTTTTTTTTTTTTTTTTTTTAAAAAGGTTTAAAATGTAGCAAAAAAGGACCAGGAATCGTCAAGCAGTCATATTGCGCAAAAATTGAGTCAAAGCTCCAATACGGTTAACAATCTTTTCTGGAATCCTGTAGGTTATGGAACAACGAAGAGCTCTGGATGTTCATCATTGCTTTTTGGTCAATTTAAACTTCGCATTTTGGGGAAACATTTCAATTTCATCGAACAGTGCCCGGAATTCCAGTCTTCTTTCAGAATTAAACTTTCAATGGATATTGTTTGGGATGTGTTGAAGATTTTCCGAGGTCATTCTTCAATGGAGAATTAAAGAAACCTTGTTTGTGAAAAGAAATTCTCTCGAAAACTGAGACATTTTTTGCTCGAAAGTGTAGCCACGTCCACTGGAGCAAGATCAGTTCTTTTGTCTGTTATGTCTTTACTTTCTGTCTGCGTTTCTCTCAATGTTTTTCGCTTCATAAGAGTCTAATGAAAGGAAAAACCCTTAATGAGGAAGGAAAAACTCGAAAGAAAGTAAACAGAAAGTAAGACATAACAGACAAAAGAACTGATCTTGCTCCAGTGGACGTGGCTACACTTTCGAGCAAAAAATGTCTCAGTTTTCGAGAGAATTTCTTTTCACAAACAAGGTTTCTTTAATTCTCCATTGAAGAATGACCTCGGAAATCTTCAACACATCCCAAACAATATCCATTGAAAGTTTAATTCTGAAAGAAGACTGGAATTCCGGGCACTGTTCGATGAAATTGAAATGTTTCCCCAAAATGCGAAGTTTAAATTGACCAAAAAGCAATGATGAACATCCAGAGCTCTTCGTTGTTCCATAACCTACAGGATTCCAGAAAAGATTGTTAACCGTATTGGAGCTTTGACTCAATTTTTGCGCAATATGACTGCTTGACGATTCCTGGTCCTTTTTTGCTACAGTTTACCTTTTTTCAAAACCAAACTGTCTTTTTTATCTTGTGGGAACATTAAGGTGAAAGCCTGATAACTGCGAATCAGTTTCATGAAGCAAAAATGAATTTTCAACGAAGAAACACGGGGTGGCTGTATCATTTTTGAACATAGGAAAATCGACCTCTTCTGAAAAAATAAGCACAAAATTTTTTAGTGTTTTCGACATGGATTTGTGTTGATATCTGAACTCGCCATGAAATTTGTCACATTTTCTATCTGGACAGATTTCCAGAAACTCTATGAACTTTAAGTTTTCGAACAAATTTTAGGTGGCTGTATCATTATTGAACGCAGTGTTACAAAAATTATTAGACTCAATGCAGAAGCTCGATGGAAGTTTTAACTTTTGTTCAAAACAGCTTGTTGCAAGCCATGTTAATAATTTTCTTGACCATAAGAAGATGCGGTTACAGCTGTAGAAGTTTTAATTCTCCAACTTCAGAATTCCTGAATTTGCGACTTTCAACTTGATCGTGTAGTTCTTTTGTTTCTGCCGAAATTGTGGTCAGTACGCTAAGGTAAACAATAAAGCCAGCTCTATACAAAACAAAAACTTAGTTTCGAAAAAAAGCTTTACCCAAAGAAGTTTATCAAGCACCTTTTGGTTAAAACGCTCATTTTGAAAGGAATGCATAGATCATGAACATGCTTTTCACAATAATAGTTTCTGTGAAATTTCAAAACTGCTGCAAAAAATTTGTTATCGACTGGCATTTCGGGTCCGCATTTGGCGTCAATTTGGTTATTGAATTCCGGTTCCATGCTCATACCAAATAATTGCATGTAAGGGGTGCTGCCGAAATCCCGTATTATGTGGCGAAGTACAATCATAGCACAATTATATTATCTTCTGTTCTACGTAAGCGTGTGTTTCAGTGCCGGTGCTGCGATCTTTGGTGCCGGAGCAAAGCCTCCCCTGTTTGGTTCCTCATCGTCTTCTATGTTCAATACGTCTCATTCACTGCGTATCTCTTTGTTAGCAACACCATCCTCGCGGCAGCAGCCCCTCCATCATCTTTCGACCAGCGAGTCACAGGCAACCTCTACCACTGCTCCTGCACCATTTGTTTTCGGAACAATGTCATCTACAAATGGCACGAAACCATTTAATCTCTTTGAAAGCAAAAAAGAAGAAAGTTCCACGAAGGCGCCATTATTTGGAAGCGGACTGACCTTCGGAAACGGACCTACCACCTCCGAACAGGTTTTCGTCCTCCACTGGTATTCTCGGTGCTCAATCTAATGCCGACAGTACAGGAAAATGTGGGTTTTTCTCAAACATTTTTGTTTTATACATTCGTTTCTGATACAACTTGTTTTTTCTAAAATATTGTACAATTTATTTTCTAGCAGTAACTAATTTTTTCAAATATTTCCAGCCTTGCTTGGATCCTCGTCAGGAACAAGTCTTTTCGGCGCAGGCGGGACCACGAAGCCATTGTTTCCCACGTTTGGGAGCTCTGCAGACAAACCATTCATGGGTACCGTCAATAGTTCTGCTGAAAGCTTCAAGCCATCTCCATTTGGAGCAAATCTATCCGGCGAAGCTCAGAAGCCACCTCTTTTCGGTGCTTCGGCAACCAATTCTGTAAACAAACCACTCTTTGGTACGAATACTGCGGCTACCGCTCCTACCGCGAATGGTGGACTTAACTTTCAGTTTTGGATCGAACAGGTACTTTCTTTACAGCGGTTGTGTTACATTCATTATACATTACTGGTTATTTTTCCAGCAGCAATTCATTTGGAACGTTCAATGCTGGAAATTCCTCTACTGCCTCCATTCTTCCGTACCGTCTACGTCATCAACCACTTCTGTATTTGGAAGCGCTTCAAGTGTGGCTGATGCATCTAAGTATGACATTTAAAATACAGTGAACTTTAGTCAAAGATAACCTCGCAAAATTATATTTTAGACCCTTCCAATTTTGGTGCCACCATACCCGAACCAACATTTCAATTTGGGCAATCGACAGCTTTCAGTGGCTCGACTCCATTTCAGTTCGGCTCTTCTCAACCAACTGCTCCGGCAGCCCCAAGTAAGAGTGGTTAATGGTGCATTTGTTCATTGATAAGAGATATTATTTACTCATTCAGCTTTCCAAATTTCGGGTATTACCGCTCCAGCTGCGCCAAGCTCCAACTTCTCCTTCACGTAAGTTTTCTTTGTACTTGTTTATGAACTTACACGTATTTTATCCCGATTCAGATCAAGTGGCACCCGCAAAATGGTGGCTGCTCGGCGCCGTCTGCCGCAGCGGAAATGATGCAGTTCGCATCCTTGTAGTTGTGGTGATGCTTCTATTATATCATTGTTT